TGAAAAAAAAAATTTAAAAAAAAAAAAAAAAAAAAAAAAAAAAAAAAAAAAATATGTGTATATATATATATATATATATATATATATATATATATATATATATATATATATATATATATATATATATATATATATATATATCAAAAACGGAAGAAATCCGACTTTTTTTTTCCCCGAGGTTGAACATGGTGCTATGGTGAAGCTTTCCTTCCACAGCGACATGAGGGTCAGGGTTTAGCATTGGGACAATCAGCCTGTGGTTCTGCTGGGTTCAATGAATTTGATGATAAACTACATTTACAATGAATTAAAATGTAAGGGGTGCAACTATTTTTTGCAAGACTGCATATTCCCTTTATGTCAGTACGGGTGATTTCTCCGTTGAAGATTTGGTAGTTGTTGCAGCAGCAATGGCCTTTCTGTGTTTCAGGGTGCGATGCCACATTGTTCACTTGTCATCTGCAAAGGCCCTTAAGCTGATCCAGAAAGCTCGGCAAGCTGGGGCCCCCCTAACGGTGGAGACCACCCATCATTACCTCAACCTGTGTGCAGAAACCATTCCTGCGAGAGCCACACAGTTTAAGTGCTGCCCTCCCATCCGAGGTTCTGCCAACCAGGTAGACGGACTCGTCGTTTTGCAGATCCAAAGTTATGCTCAATGGACGCAATACAAAGAAACACCATGTGGTTAATACTGTCATTGGCCCCTTCAGGAGCAGCTGTGGTCTGCGCTGAAAACTGGACAGATTGACATGGTGGTGTCTGACCACTCCCCCTGCACCCCCGATCTTAAGAAACTGGAGAGCGGGGACTTCACGCAGGCATGGGGAGGGATTTCATCGTTACAATTTGGTACATTTCTCAAACTGGTGGCAGTTAGAAAATGGAAAAAAAAATGGTTTGTACTTGTTAGCGCTTCATCAAGTCCAGAGGACCCCAGAGTGCTTCACACTGCATTCAGTCATTCTCCCACACATTCACAGGCTGATGGTGGTGATGATGGTAGTAGCCACTGACTGCAGGACAAACTCCTTCCACCAAAACAATTATTTCACCTTAAATAGCTCACATGTCCAAATTTTACATTAGTTTTATATCAAGGGAGGATATCATCAAATTCAGTCTATAAATGTTATTAACATTGATGAGTAGTAGTCAAAATCTGCTTGCAGGGGCTTTTGGTCCAGTTTCTGTTGTATCCAAAACTAAATCTGAGGGTATTCAGTGTCTGGTTGATGGATCTTAAAAAGATTAAATGTCTGCCAACATGTCTGGAATGAATTCCAGATCCTTGTCCCTATATAAGGACATAAAGCAGGCTCCTCTTCCTATAAACTCTGATTGTAAAAGTAAGTTTGAATGTTAAATTAGAAAAAGATCACATTAAAGAATACTGATTCACAGACACAACGCAGGCCTTAAGTTATTGGTATTCCTGTGTTTCAAAACAAACACTCCTCGATGGCAGTAAAGCACGGTGGTGGAGGGCTGATGATGTAGACTTAACTATTGAAACTAAAGACAATATATCAATAAAAACATCTCATATCCACGATCATCAATGGTAACATAGGAGTGATTATTCAGGCTAGCTGTGCAGTCATATTGTCCAGGCTCCTTGCGGTCACTAAGTTGACCTAGAATTTCTCTGTCTACTGAAATATTGCAGAGAAAAACGTCAGACTATCTGCCAAGCAGCTCCACAGAAACTGGAAATATTACAGAACAGAAAACCTCGAATCCAGCAGCCACTCTATCTGAGCAACATAAATAAAAGAGAATCCATGTGTTGCAACAGCCTAGTCAAAGTCCAAACTTTAACCTTATTGATTTGAAATTGCGAACAGGACTTGATATCGTTTTTATGTACAAATCCGAATGAGTTAAAATGCAAGCACTTAAACCTATCAGAGTTAATAGAGCTCTTCCCAGTTTAAAATCATGAGTAACTTATTTGGTTTTTCACAAACTGCTTTTGCATTTTGGTTAATTATTATACTTTAATAGATCATGGATTATTGTTTATCTGTGAATTTATAAACCTAAATTCCTAAATTGACTTACTTCCTGTCATTAAACGTCAATATTCCTATTTTGGTAGGTTAGACCTGCTCTATCCCATCACCACATCTTCTTGATTGGGATTTAAATGAGGCAACTCCAACACTGAACTGGCAAAAAAGTCTCAAGCTTCTACCAATCATTTACTTTTCTGTCACAATGGTCAAAGTCTGTCAGTGGGAGCAAAGCAGACGGCCAGTTACAGTGTTTAAAAATTACCACCAGGAAGGAGAGCAAGAGTTTCTTGTCCCTATTTTTCAGGTTTGCCTTTGTTCTGGACTTCAGCCAGTAAGAGAGACTTTCAGCTGGCTGATGTGGTGAGGCTCCTCAGCAGAAACACAGCCCACCTGAGCAGCCTGGGCAGCCTGAAGGGCAGCCTGGCCCCTGGCTTTGATGCCGACTTGGTCATTTGGGATCCAGAGACGGGCTTTCAGGTCAGTGTGAGGTATTCACACTGTTAAGGGGGCAGCTTTGAGCTTTACATCATGTTATTATGTTATTCCCTCATCAAAACATTCCTGGACTGTTGCCTTGATTCTTTCGTGCATGTTTGAGACATCCTTTAATCTCCATGGCAACCATAAAATGCCTGGGTTGGCCTAGCTCCACCTTCAAGGCGCAGCTCCTCCTCAGAGCTGCAGTTTCCAAGCTTCTGTCTCACAGAGCAGCCCTCTCCCACTCAGCTCCTTCAGACTAGCCAGAAGCAATTAGCAAACGCCTGGTAGAACTACGAATCTGCAGAGCTCATTATAGGAGCTACTTCTCAGTGCAACACTGGTAAAAATGTTGTTAAAGGGTTAATAAAGGAGCCATGTTGTGATGACTTCCTCAAGGCGGAGTTCCAGAGAGAGCAGGAGATTTTAAAGCGGCAGATGCCTAATTTAAAGCCGTTAATTTACAAAGTCAAATTTCTTGTAAATTATGAGTCAACAGAGTTACTTGATTGTGCTATAAAATGGCCATAAGTGTGAGGAGAACACATAATACAGCCCCTTAAAGCTATTGTCAAGGCTGCGTTTGTGCTTCATGTCTGTTTTCACTTCACAGATCGAAGAAGCAAGCATTCACCATAAGAACAAGGTAACTAAAGTCTGTAAGAAACAACTGAAAAACTAACTGTGAGGATCGGTCGCGATCTGCTGTTTACACAAGTGTCTAACTGTGTGTGTGTATATTTGTGCAGATGACCCCGTACCTCGGCTCCACGCTGCAGGGAGTGGTGCGTGCGACTGTCCTGAGGGGCCGGCTGGTGTACAGAGATGGCAGCTTCTGCCCTGAACCTCTGGGAAAGCATCTCCTCATCCCCCAGAGGACGGGTCAAGCACAACTGTAGCAAACACAGACAATAAAAGCTCAGTCCATTGGTCTGACTGGAAATGTGTGTTCTTTTTTTATCTTTTCTAAAGAGCACATAGCTAAAAGATTATATCATATGAACCAAAAGCTTTTATCTGGAAATGAATTTTAAACAACTTAAGTGTTTTAGCTAAAGTTAAAGAGAATGGACAGTTCAACAACCACTGGAAATCTGATTTCAGTAAAGCTTAGACTCAAATTTAATGAAGCACAGTTCAGTTTTCATATCTATGGCAAAAATTTACTAAGTACAGAGGACAGCCCAGGGCCATATATAAGCTTTATCAAAATGAAGCTTTTGACATCAACAGTAAGCAGACAGTGTCTGCTTTATTGACACCATTGAGCGTCTCCTCCATTTACACTTTTAGAAACTACATTACCTTTCAGAGCAAAATGTTCTGTTGAGAACATAAACAATAATAGTCAATAAATTAGTTCCACAAAGGCTCGGTTGTCAGATTAAAATTACTTTTTGTACATAAAAACCTTCAAGTAGGTATCAATCATAGTTTGCATTAAACCCACATTTCTGTATTATGTTGTAATTATAAGTGCAGAAAATCTTCATAAATACCAGAAATAAGGGTTTGAAAACATCAGCCTGTGTAGTTCATATATATGACGTGTTCACTTCCTGATGGAGATCCTGAAATAAACTTTTTAATCATTTTCTAATATGGCTGTAGAACAAATTCTTAAATATGAGTTAAAGATTGATCTTTCAGAGCTTTGCAATACTAGTTACAGGAAATCACACAGGAACATTTTGTATGTAGGAATGAGATGTCATTGTCATATATTGTGAGGTTGAAATAGGAGTTTGGAAACCGCCTGGTGATTTAACTATAACAAAGAGTGCAAACTCACAGCAAGGCATAAAGGGAACCAGAAACAGAACCAGGTCGAAACCACCAAGGAGCAATGAAAACCAGGGAGCTTAAATACAGACGTGTGATGAATGACAAAATATAAAACAGCTGAGGGAGAGTCCTGAGGAGAGGAACTGAGGGAAGGAGACTAATAAACAGAAAAATAACCAGCATTTTACACTTTCCACACTTGATCATGTTTGCTTATCTTGGATAACAGATGTTGACAGTTTTAAGAGCTTTTGTACCTTCTGAAAGGTAGAAAAGAAGCGGGGACGGTTGAAAAGAAGAGTGCATAAAGGTGAATATTTTACTAAAGTTGTTTCAAAATGTGGTCATTTACTTTTTCATTATGGTGAAACCTGTCTAGCTTGAAATAAGACAAACAAACTGGTTGGGTTGCTAATATGGTGTAAATATAAATATGACGACTACTTGGTCATTTATCCTCAGCCAGTTGCAGTGTGAATGACATGCTCTGCTAGCTTAGACAAGGAGAAGAAAATACAGCTAGAGCATTTCTCAACTCGGTTAAATTCATGTTCTCGTTCACCCAGGCTGGCAGGATGCCCTGAAAAATCAACATTTCTAATAGATTGGATTGGACTTTAGCAATAAAAAATCCTTGTCTGATCAAATCTGAATTCTGGGTAGCTAGAGTCACTTATTTAGTAGTTTTCAAACAATAATTTGGTTAAAATACTGAAGCAAAAAAACAGAAAAAGCATTTAAAATGAAGAGTACAGGAAATAAATAGTTAATTTTGAAAGCCTGTAAGCCTGGTAGCTAATTATTAACAAACAGCAGCATGTCTGGTGACGTCATTATAGGAAAGTACATGTTGTCAGAGCTGGGTACACACTCACAGTTGACAGAAGATGAAAAGGGTAAATACTGTGACAGACGTTTGACCCGAGGACTTCACTGGTCAGACGGAGGGGTGTGTCTGGCTGAGGGAATACTTCACCTCCATCTCTTATGTCTCTTTCATCTTTTTTGCTCTCCCCATCTTGCTGTGAAGTCATGTTGCCCGTCTCCATGCCTCCACCACAATGCCTGAAGAAACGAATGGTTGTTCCTCACCGTTACATGTTTGGACCAGGACCTTCCAATGTTCCTCGACACATTCTGGAAGCCGGAGCCAAGCCGGTCATTGGACACATGCACCCGGAGATATTTGAGGTAAGTCAGCAAGTTCAGCCACCATCATGTCGTCCATGCAGGGGAAGACCAACACACAGCCATGGATTCCAGGATTGCATTCTATGTAGCTCTGTCTATCAAGACTGACAGACGGATGGCTTTCCTGTTCCCGAATTTATGAACCACCCCAACTTTTGCTAACCCTCCTTTTTTTTTACCTTGGATTGTAGGCAATGCGTTTCAGTTGGACCCTCAATGATCAAAGGCAAAACTATTTAAATTTTACCATCAGAAATTTCATTGTAATTGCAGATCATGAGTGACATCAAGAGTGGAATCCAATATCTGTTCCAAACACAGAACAGGACAACTTTTGCTGTGAGCGGCACTGGCCACACTGCAATGGAGTGTGCCATCTTCAACACGGTGGAGTCTGGGGAAAGCGTGCTGGTAGCGGTCAATGGTATCTGGGGAGAGCGGGCAGCTGATATGGCGGAGAGGGTTGGTAAGTTACTCAAAAGCTCCCTGGTAGAAATAAAGACGTTTAATATTTACAATGGCAGACATATTTCTTAATTTGGGGATAAAGCTTTGGAATATACTTGGAACCATGCTCTGTTAGTCTGGTACAAACCAGACTCTTACTCTAAGTTTGCTTTGTAAAAAAAGATCTGGACTCTTGGTTATTAAGAAATTATTGCTTGCTGTAGATGTGGACTGTTACAGTTTTAAATGATTGGATCTGATTCTACCCAAAAACAAATGTTTGATGGTGACATAGGTAATACGGCACCTCAACTGTGAAGGAAGCTACGCTATGAAGCTTACCAGAAATCGTGTGCACTGTAAACAACCCCATGTAGATCAGGGCCACAACGTCTTTGCCAACAATAAAATGTCTTAAATGTCTTAAACATTCCTTTTGCTCCGACTTTAATAACTCAGTATTTGTAGGTGTGGCCAACAAGGACTGAATGACTTTGTTCACTTCTTCTGGTGCTGTTGCCAAACTTCAACCGTAGGGAAACTACAATTAGAAAAAAGGGCGTAGAAACTCAACATCATTGTTCACAACTCCTCCTTCTTTTTGCTGATTGGCCAGGATGCAATACCTCCTGAGAAATCCAGGTCAATGGGACAAATCCCAGCTGGAGCACAGAAGGGAGATGACAGTCAAGAAGGATTGCGTGGGTGTCACTTTGATTCACACTTCAATACTCCAAACATTTGTTAATTTTGCTCAAAACAAAGAATATCTGGAGCAGGTTAAAAACACATACATATATTTTGGAATGGGCCCCAAAACAGAATGTGTGTCCATCCAACAGGTGCAAGAGTAAAAACCATTGTGGCGCCTCCTGGTGGCTACTTGACCAATGCAGAGATTGAGAAGGTATTGCCACACATCACCATAGTGATCAGACTAAATAAAGCAAACTCTCATGCTGCTATAACTAATGCAGTTACTGCATGATCTCATCGCAGGCTTTATCAGAACACAGACCGGTTCTGTTCTTCCTCGCGCATGGAGAGTCTTCCACAGGAGTCCTGCATCCTTTAGATGGCATTGGCGACTTGTGCCATAAGTAAGATCTGCTATCACAGCATGTTCTCAATGTAGGACATCAGGTGATTTCAGATGTCTGCTGATTTGTTTCCCCAGGTATGACTGCCTTCTCCTTGTTGATTCTGTGGCGTCGATAGGAGGCGCTCCTCTCTACATGGACCAGCAAGGTTTAGAGCTCATTATGGCTTCCATGTAGATCAAATGAACTCTTGAATTAATATGTTTGGTTTTACATAATGATCTTTACAGCAAATGAAAGACTTTTCTGCTAATGATTGTATGCAGGCATCGACATTTTGTATACCGGCTCGCAAAAGGTTCTGAATGCCCCTCCTGGTACAGCACCCATTTCATTCAGCGAGAGAGCATGGTGAGAATATGTGTTGTGTACTGCATATGCAAACGTGCAATGGAAAAACGTATTGAAGGGAGGAAAATTGTCCACAGCCGAAAAGTATTCAGTCGGACAACAAAACCCGTATCGTTCTTCTTGGATTTGAGTTGGCTTTCAAACTACTGGGGATGTGATGACAAGCCAGCAAGAATGTAAGACACCTACGATTGAAGAAGACGCAAGAGAAAATGCCGCTTTGCAAAGTTTTGTCCTCTTTCTGGCTTCTCAACAGATACCACCACACAGGGCCGGTCACCGCCTTTTACTCCCTGAGGGAGAGCCTGGCTGTGCTTGCTGATGAGGTGGGGCATGAGTTGGAATCAGCTCAGTAATTACTCATAAATCTTCTGTTATACTTTTTAAAAAAGGTTAAAAAAAAATTGCCAGGTTATTAGCACTTCCAGCATGAATTTCACAGCGCCTTGCCAAAGTACTAATGCTTTCTGAACTGATTTATTTACATTTTGTCATGTAGCAACCACATTATTCAGTGGATTTTATTGGGATGTTATGTCATAAACCAGCAAAAAGCAAGGAACACTTGTGAAAGGTTAGGAAAAGGATGCAGCGCTTTCAATATTTGTACAAATGTGGTGTCCATTTGAGTCTATGCTTTGTAGAGACGTCATCCAGGGCAACAGTGATGGAGTGGTTGTTTTGCAATCAGAAGATTGATTCCAGGTTTTTCCCACCATGGCAGCGTGCTCCTGGGCAAGGCATTTAAACCCAGGTTGTCATTAAAACTATGAAAGTGCAACATAACTTCAGACCTTTTAGTCTTTTGCATTCTAGAGACTAAAATTTCTGCCAACTCTTTTTACATGATAGTGGTAGGAAATTGTCGATAGAGCAAGTTTTAGGTCTTGCCACAGAATCACAGTAAGGTTTGGTCAAAGTTTGTTATTGACAGTAATGTAAAGGATGCAGTGCTATTATTGTTGACAATTTGTCGTTACGTAGTCTGGACTTTGACTGGTCATTGTAATCCTTGACTTCTTAATGTCACCCTTTTCATTGTAGCTTTTGCTCTATGTTTAGTGTTTCAT